GTCCCTTTGGGAATGGCAGCCTTGGGTGAAGCACCCAGGCAGCAGCCAGCTGTGGTTTTTCCAAGTGCTGGACTGCCAGTGTCTCCAGCCCCCTGCAAAGGTGTCTGTAGGCTCTGTGATGTTTGGGATCCACCACTTTCCTACACATCAGATATTCTTCCCCTGCTTAGCAGCCCCTCTCTCCCAGTCTGTAGCAGTGCTTATGCTCCTCTTGCTGTGCTGGAATGCTGTGAATTTTTTGGTGCCCCAGCAAGGCTGGGTATCTGGAGGACCCAGGAGCCATTTCAGCACTGGCACTGGGTTGTGGTGTGTGAAACCAGGACTGAATGAGCCCCAGAGGCTGACTGGCCCTCATGGAAATGCAGGTTTGGCAGCAAAATGGCATCAGGGAGCCTGCTGGGCTGAGGATGTGATCTGCAGTAGCCAAGGTGATGTGTGGGGCAACCGTGGCATGCTCCCTAAAGAGGGGCTGGACCTGCCTGAGACCTGCTGAGCAGCACAACCCTCCCTCCTGGGGCTCTGCACAGCTCCCACAGGGGCTGAACTGATGCTCTGCCAGCTCATCTTCATCTCCCCCCTGATCTCAGTGCTCTCTGAGGTAATATCACAGGTCATCTGGCGTGTGCCATGCCACAGACTGCAGCTGGGTGAGGAGCAGAGCCTGGGTGAGCAGGTCTGGCAGGGAGGGGACAGCAGAGCAGCTTCTCGTGTCATTGTCTTCTTTCAGATCATTGTGGGGTTCAGTGAGGTCTGTGTGCTGCTGCAAGCTGTGTACTCCCCCTGGCTGTGTTCCTCTGTCTCCCAATATAACCAGTTCGAGTGCTGTGTGTAAAATAAAGAGTAAATAAAGATGATGCCCAATGTCCCCTGGAGGAGTTCGTTCTGTCTCAGAGCACTGGCTGCTCTGGGTACTGCTGCACCACAGCTCCTACCACTGTAAGGTAAAATCTCACCTCTCTCCTGGGTTTTAAAACACATTTTTGAAAGTCTCATGTTCGCTGCCATTCCCTGTTGGTGTGGCCTTCTCTCTGCTCCCCACACCTCTGCTGGCAGCCTCTGCCTCATCTTGAGGGGTTAAAAGGAGGGGAACAGTCCTAAGTTTCTGACAGGACTGAAGAAAACCAGGAGCTCTGGTTCATGGCAAGGAGATATTGTGCTAAGGGATAATCAGGTTTTGCCTGGAGGCAATGCTGGCTCTGGGTACAGAGATTTTATGTGAGCTGTTGTTGCTTTTGCTCACCTGTCATTTGATCTAACTGCTCTTAAAATGGAAGTGTTCCTAAACCTAGTGACAGTGCAAGTCCTGTCGTGAGCCATTCCCATGCTGCCTCTGCAGAAGAAATGAAGAGTTATTGGCAACAGCCTTCCTAATAATAATAATAAAAAAAAAGGATTTAATTTGGTATTTTACTTTACAGAGGGGGAAATGAATCTACCTGAAAGAACACTTCTCCCAGCACAGAACAGACCCTGTGTCAGCCCAGGCTGTACCTCAGGGGTATCTGGCACGGGCAGGGAGCACAGCAATGCCCTGCAAGCAGTGCTGGAGCTCTGGAGTCCGACTGGTTTGATCCTAAATTTCCTGTAGAGCCCACAGAGGCATCCTTAATATCCTCAGCCTTGGATCAAATCCTGAGGGCAGCTGTGCCAGCCTGCAGGGCTGGTGTGCCAGGCAGGGACCGTGCCCACAGATGGTGGGGGAAAGGGTGCTACCAAGTGATGCCTGCCTCTCCAAAACTCTCACAGCAGGGTTTTGTTCTGGGAGCTCCCATCCCAGGGCAGAATCCAGAGCACACCTCTGTTGAAGGAGGACAAAAAGAAATGTATTTGAGCTGTGGTTTGGGGTTTTTTTAAGTCTAAGTATGTATGAATTTAATTTCCCTGCAACATCCTCTTCATGGCTCAAAGCCATGCCACTAACCTGGCACTGATGTACCTCAGAAGACACTGAAATACATTTCCACCCACCAAGACTTTGGTCAGGTACAGTGTCTGTTTGTGCCTCCCTGCTCCTCTGTCACCCCTGAATGGTCCAGATCCAAAGCTGATGAAATCAGTGACCCCTAAAAAGTCAGTGACCACTGAGGTACCACAGCCACGTGTTTCCTGAACACCTCCAGGGGTGGCTCCCTGCACGACCCGGGCTGCAGCCCAGGGCTCAGTTGCTGTAGCAATACAGGTTTCCTCATCAGCCTGCACACACCTCTGTGTGTGCCAGCAGTTTACAGGAACTTTATCTAGAGATTCCATATGGATTTAATACGATAGGGTATTATTAACATTAATAATTATTTAATACAATAGGGATAACAGATTTCCACAAGTGTCAGGAAGAGCTTCTCTCAACATCCAGACCTATTAAAGAACTTCTCAGAGCTAGTGATGAATAAGCCCAGATGTTTCTGAAATGAAGAACAAATTCTTCTCTCACACGAGCATGGATCTGTCTGAGCATTCCTGAGATGAGCAGAGAGACTCTAAATGTGCAGCAGGGTAATAGAAAGCACACTTCAGCCCAAGGGAATGAAGAACCTGCACAGAACACAGCAAAAGTCTAAGCCAGTGGAGAGCAGGAGCTGAACAGCCAGTTCCTGCCTCCCTGCACTTGCCAATTGAAGTCTCTGCATCCAGCAGAATTTCTAGCTGAAATGTTTGAGCCATTTCCCAGAGCTTTCAGCTGGGTATTGGTCCTCTGGTGCCTTCAGTTATTGGAGCACTCAGCTGGGGGCAGCACAAATAAGAACCATCTGTCATGCTAACTGAAGTCAGGAAGATCTGTGAGAGCCAAGGACAACAGAGCATGGATGGGAAGGATGCTGAATTCCTCCTCTGAGGGAGGCCAGGGGAAGGAAGCTGGGACCTGCTGCAGGCATCACAGGAGGGAGCTGGATGCAGACTTAGCTCCAAGGGGAAGGCTGTGGCTGTGCCCTTCCTCTGCTATTGACCCAGCTGGATGACAACTGAGCATCCCCCCTGCTCCCAAGGGCTGCTGTCAGCGCTGGGAGAGGTGCAGGCAGCGAGTCTGGTTCTGGGAATCATCCCAGTCACAGCCATGCAGCAAAGAGAAGAGACCTGGGCTCTGGGTCTCCTCCAGGGACAGTTCCTCCACCACCCAGGGCACAGCAAGGTGCACGAGGAGGAACCAAGCTCGAGGTGAATTGCAAGTTCTCACACCCAGGTTCTGCTTCTTCCCAAGAGTAAGTTGCTCACCTCTTGCACAGTGTTCTCAGGAAGTTGCTCATAGCTCTCAGTCTCACCCCAGGCAGTTGAATACTCCATGTGCTTAGATCCCTGTGAATAACTCTCCAGGCTAATTTGGCAGCGATCTGCATGCTAATGTAATTCCAACGACATACGTGCTGGACAGTTGCTTTTCCTCTCTCTCTTTGTGTTGCTAACTGCTTCATTGTAACTCGAATGTCTTGGGGGGGAAATTTCCATTGTCCTCCTCCACCTCCCTGCTCTTCAGAGCTCACCAGTCCCTGAGGATCGTTTCCAGCCCTGCTAGAAAATTTGGTTAGAATGAATGGAGGGGATTAAAGCAAGAATAATCAGGGGGTGCCTGCCAAGGGCTCCCTCCCTCAGCCCGCTGCTCTCCCTGGGATGTAAGGTCCTGCAGGGTGGGTCCCGGGCTGCAGCCCTGCCCTGGGCACACTCCCCTGGGGCTGGGCTGGGGCAACAACTCCCAGAGCTGCCGTGCTAATGAAAGGTGAGGATGGAAGTGGTGATTTAACCCGGGTTGCTGCTACACCAGCGCTTCCATCTCCAGCAGACTGGTCCCTCACAGCAAAACTGCCCAGATTCCCCCCACTCCAGCTAGTTCTGATTCCCTTAAAGGAAACAGGAGCTGTAGATATGTTTCCAGATGAGTGGTGTAGCTCTGTTGAAATGCTAATGCCAGCCTGAAGCCCTCTGCCAAGCAGGCCTGGCCAAAGGGTTTGTTGTTTGATTTGCAGAAGAATGTGAAATTAAATAAACTTTATGAAAAAGAAAAAATCAATAGTAACACAAAAAGTCTGGGAGGGTACATCTGCTAGAGATTGTGGATGTCTCTTGGAGACCTAGAAACTACAGTTTGGAAAACCCTTCCAATCACCAGGACTCATCTTTGTTCAGAGGTTGCCACATTAAAAACAGAAACTGGAAAAGAAGTAGAAAAAAAAAAGAGGATTTTGGAGTCTGTAATGACCAGAAGTCAAGATTTCACTTTAGAACAGAGAAAGAGAAGTACCTGGGGTACTTCACAGGGGAAGAAGAGGAATCATTTCCAAGGAAATGAGGTTTACATCTGTTGATCTACCAGCCTGTGTCACTCTCCTGATGGACTGTGCCCTGCTGGGTGCTGTCTGGGACTCCTGAAGGACACTTTGCCTGCAGCTCAGCTGCTCAGCTCTGTGCCCCCAAACCCTCTGCTGGACGCTGGAGCACGAGCTGGGGCTTTGTGAGCTGCTGCACCAGACCTGGGGGCAAGGAGACAGGGATGGGCCAGCCAGGACCATGGTGTTTCTGGGGCTCACGTCTGGAGGTGCAGAGCTGGGATGGCCTCTGGGTTTGTTTTTTTTTGTCCCCCTTTTTGCTGTCTGTCAACTCCCAGGTTGGAATGTCCCCTAATTTC